ACACGGAAGTATTTTCCACAGGCTGTTCCCAGGTCAACATTGTCTGGAAAACGAGAAAATGGAGTTAATTTCAGAACTGTAGCAAAAATAGTTAATTGCTTAAATAAACACAACCCTATCTCAAAATACAACAATAGGAACCAGCTATGCACATCATTTAGTTATTCCTCTTAGCAATTACTTGACTTACCTTAAAATGTAAATTCTTGTTAGAGGCAGAGCCATAAATATATTTTTAGGAGCCAATTAGTAACAATTATGCGTTCAAAGAAGCCAAAATGATCTTTACCAGTTGATTTTTGTTTATTAACTTGAGCTTTTACATGCATATATGAGGTTGCAATGGCCCCTAGGTCTATCACTGATTCTTGTGCTTTTCTGCAACTGGCTAGACATTCCAAAATATATTTAAATCAGGGTCTAAATGAAAAGGTACCATGCCTACTTACAGTTGAAAATTCGACATTTCACTAGATCATATGCAACATCGATTAAAGAACCAAAAGTTAGAGATGCTAACTTACTTCCATGGAAGTGGTGGACTGTGACCTTAGCCAGCATAGCATAGTACTCAATTTCAGACTTCCGGAGCGGAGGGCAGTTGTTAGCAATGATCACTAGCTTTGCTGTAAATCAATAGATTGATTTAGGCATATTACAGGCATGCTATATAACAAATGAGAGTGTGTGAATTCTATTGTAAACGACATACAGTAAAATTTTAAAGCAAGCATTGTCATGTGGAAGGAACAGTTAGGCAAAGCAAAGGAGTCAAGTTACACCATCTAAAAGACTGGAGATGTTCAAAACAATTGTACACAACATAAACCACAAAAACACTATAAACCAAAAATATAAATCAGTCAGAAGATATCCCCACTCATGCTCAACCGGTAATATGATGCACAGGTACCATATATGCACCACGCGGGGAGGATCATAATGGCGTTGACTCATACACAATGGCCATCAAAATTCATCCATTGGTAATCACTTTACAATGCAAAACTCAAATGACGGCCACATATTTAGAAATAGCTATAAGAATACAGTTACTTCAAAAAAGAGCAAGCAGTAACAACAGGCATTGTGTACAAGCTAACAGATTAAAAAGCTAAGGAATCCATCAGAACACTAAGAATATTGATACCCCGAAGTATATTGAAAAAGTAAATCAACAAAAGAATTGTTTTTCAAGAAACAATCAGAGGATCAGAATTCAGGCTTGGTTTTCTCAGATGAGAAATTATAGCGCTCAGTATGTTCATCGTCGATCATCTGGGGAAAGGGTCATCATATCCTCTGAAGTGTGCACCACAGTTAAGAGAACAAAAATGCACAAAAAGAGGCATCAATTTTGATAAGAGGCAACAAAACAAGCACTACATGAAATTCAGAAACATTTTTTCTGTATAAATGGAGGATCAGCATTCTGGCTTGGTTTTCTCAAATGAGAAATTATAGCGCTCAGTATGTTCACTGTCGATCATCTGGGGAAAGGGTCATCATATCCTCCACAGATAACATTAAGGTATAAAGGGGAAAAATATTCAGACAACATGTCAGTATTCTTTTGTATGTACCCACATAAAAAATTAAAGAAAGTATTGTCATGTGGAAGGAACAGTTACGCAAAGAAAAGGAGTTAAATTACAGCATCTAAAATACTGGACAGAAGATATTCAATACACAACAAAATCCACAAAAACACTATTAACTTAAAACATAAATCAGTCAGAAGATATCCACACTCATGCTCAACCAGTGATATCAGGCACTGGTACCATATATGCACGACATGGGGAGGATCATTGTGGCGTTGACTCATACACAATGGCCATTTTAATTCATCCATTGGTAATCAGTTTTCAACGCAAAACTCAAACGACAGTCACATTTAAAAATGGCTACTAAGAATACATAGTTACTTCAAAAGAGCAAGCAGTGACAACAGACTTTGTGTACAAAAGTAACAGAAAAAAAGTAAATCAACAAAACAGCCAGAGAAATTGTTTTTCCAAGGAACAATCGGAGGATCAGAATTCTGGCTTGGTTTTCTCAAATGAGAAATTATAGCGCTCAGTATGTTCATTGTCGATCATCTGGGGAAAGGGTCATCATATCCTCTGGAGTATGCAACTCAGTCCAGAGAACAAAAAAGCACAAAAAGAAACATCAATTTTGTCAAGAGGCAACAAAACAAGAACTTCACACGAAATTCAGAATCCATTTTTCTGGAAAAATAGAGGATCAGAATTCTGGCTTGGTTTTCTCAAATGAGAAAATATAGCGCTCAGTATGTTCACTGTCAATCATCTGGGGAAAGGGTCGTCATATCCTCCAATGATAACATTAAGGTATAGAGGGGCAAAACATTCAGATAACATGTCCAGAAAAATACATTGTCCAGAGAATATTTTGGTGGGCGTCCATGTAGCCACAAAGTTATAGTAGCTGAGGTCATGAACCCAATGCCCTATTCTCCTTCTCTCAAAGTCGTATTCCCATTGTGACATGTAAGACTGTTCTCTTAGGTTGGACTAAAAAAGGTACAGTACATCTGCATAATCATAATGCAACACCAGCTAGAGAGCAACAACATAAGCCCATATGAACAGGATAGCGAAACTAATGGTTATCACATATGCCCATACAGTGGGCACTTCTCACTTCTAAGGTGAGCAGTAAAAAACAACTACATGGACACGTCCATAGGAACGGATTGACCATCCCACATGATTAATCTACGATCTAGTAACATAAGCATACATCCATGGGCACCGATTCACCTTCCTAAAGAGTTAATCTAAGATCCATGAAACATATAACAAGGGAGAGCTTCCTTACACTTGGAGTTCCTGAGGGTCCTGAGGACAGTCTTGTAGCCGAGCGTGTACTTGCCGCTCTTCATCACAAGCTGCAGCTTGTTGTTGATGTTGTCCGTGGACTTCTTCTGCACAAAACCAACAGCAGACAACGAAAAACCAGAGCTTAGAACAGAAATTGCAAGACTAGAAACGCAACCAGGCAGAATGCAGCACGTTCCGATGCCATTCTGCCTCCCGGAAGACGGCGGCAGATCGACAAACAGGTGGGAGAAACGGGAGCTTCCTGGGAGAGATACGGAGGAGAGATGTGAGAGCGTGGGGCATGGGATCGTTACCGTCTTCTTTGCGGCCACCATGGTTGCGCCCCGAGGAGGACTGACGGCGTCGAAGCGGCTTTGCGCGGCGGCGGCGGCTCCTTCTCGGGGGTGACTGCGAGGCGGAAGGGAGGGTGCTAGGGTTTGGTTCTTTATAGAGTAGGGCGCCTGAGGGTTTGCCCGCTGTGGGCTTTGTAGAATGGGCTTATATTACAGGAGTTCTTTGGGCCCTGTCGCAGAATATGGTTGCAACTTCTCTCTGTCCCCTCCTTCCAAGCTCCCTCTACGTTCAAAAGAACCAAAAACTTATCTCTTTCCCTCCAAAAAAAATATTTCTGTTTTTTCTGGTAGAAAAGAAACTGCAAGACAGCCCATCATGTTGTGAATATACCCCTAGTGAAAGGTAATATATATTCCTATGTGAAAAATAATATATACATTATTTATATATACATACATGTAGCCATTTAAGTTGTTAGAATGGAAAGAATGACCAAGAGGGATTTTATTTTGTGCATAATCCATCGTTAATAGTCATGCAATTTCCTCCATAATATTAAGATCATATCAAAATCTTGTGGACCTTGATATACATGTGAGCCCCGCATGTACTTTCCTAACAACTTACATGAAATGAATTGTCTAAGTTCATACCATAGTGGATGTCTAAGCAATACGATTCTAAAAAAAACAATACTCCCTCTATTCTAAATTATATGATGTTTTGGTTTTTCTAGGTACATAGTTGTTGTGCACTTAGATATGTACTGTATCTACAAATATCTAATGTATCTAGAAAAAGCTAAAACATCTCATAATTTAGAATGGAGCAACTTTGAAAATGGGCTTTTATAACCTGGTTAGACTTGTAGTTGACACCATTTTTTGTGCATAGGATATTTGTAGCTTGGGGCATATTTGCGATTTTAGGTACAGATATATAGTTTCTTTACAATTGTGCAATCCTTGCTCTTCTTCGCCTTATACAGATTTGGTCCCTCTCATTTTGTTCTTCTATTTGTGCTGCTTTAAACAACATAAAAAGAGTGATAATGACTGAATGAGCTAAGGTTGTACATGTCAGCAGATGGGTTCTTAGCTAATTTATTTTCCGAAGCTTTTTGTTGGCCTCTTGCTCGTTGATCAATCGATGCTAAGCTTTAGCATTCTTATAATTCTACAAGGGTTCTATAAATCTGTACCCTTCTTTCGTATGTCCACTATCCTTTACACATAGGGGGGGGCAGAGGATTGTACCCCAACCTCGTTCCTAAAAGGGCTATTACCGTACCAAGTGAAATAATATTTGCAACAAATGATTAACATAGCGCTCTAATTGTCAATCCTTGATAAATCCAGTGATAGCTATTTTAATCTTTACTGTGCAAATTCTCTCTCATGGGAAAAAAACTGAAGAGACAAAGCTGGAAGAGAACCCCAACTATACCTTCTGTATATAGAGAAGTTGTAATAAAATAAAATAAAAATGTATACAAAATATTAATAAATGATCAGGCGAAAGAGATGTTTGCATGGTCGATAGTATATACATCTTTTATACTCAAAACTGTCAAAAGTGTCATATTTGTTACAAATTACAATAAACTACTATCAGTAAATACGATACTCATGAAAAGCAAAATTAAAACTAAATACTCATGATAAGTTTCTTTGTATGTATGGATAGATTTTTTTTTGAAACAAACGTATATTTCCCTTAAAAAACCGTGGTTGGGCTCAAAACTATCAGGCAACACCTGACCTCAGAGCTGGTTTGCAGCAGCTCTCAACAATCAATCCTCCAGTTCCAGTTCCGTCGAAGCCCAGCCACCGCGAGTGAGCCGCGCGCTCCATCTCCATGGACGCCTGCTCTCTCGTCCGCCGCCATCTACCACGGCCACTACAGCTCCCGCTCCTCGCGCCTTCAATTCCCAGCCGCCGGCGCCACCGCCGCGTCGCCACCGCCGTGGTCCGCTGCTGCTGCTCCGCCGCCGCGGCAGACCACCACCAGGAGCGGCCCTGGGAGTGGTACGACCGCGCCATCCAGTCCTACGCAGGGTCCGACCTGGCGCGCTCCCTCGGCCTCCTCGCCGACATGCAGGCGTCGGGGGCGCGCCCGAGCGCCGGCGCTTACGCGCGCCTCATCCGCGCGCTGTCCCGCGCGGGGCGCGCGCTGGAGGCCGAGGCGCTCCTACTCGAGATGCGCCGCCTCGGCCCGCGCCCGGACGCCGCGCACTACAACGCGCTCCTCGAGGGCCTGCTCGCCGCCGCTAGGCTCCGCCTCGCCGACCGCCTCCTCCTCCAGATGGCGGACGACGGCGTCGCCAGGAACCGGCGCACCTACACGCTCCTGCTGGGCGCGTACGCGCGCGCCGGCCGGCTCGAGGACTCGTGGTGGGTGCTCGGCGAGATGGGGCGCCGGGGCATCCGCCTCGACACCGCCGGGTATAGCATGCTCGTGCGGCTGTACCGGGACAATGGCATGTGGAAGAAGGCCACCGACCTCGTCATGGAGATGCAGGAGGTTGGGGTGGAGCTGGATGTTAAGATCTACAGCGGCCTGATCGATACTTTCGGCAAGTATGGACAGCTAGCGGACGCACGCAGGGTGTTTGATAAAATGCGCACCGAAGGCGTCAAGCCGGATATATCGACTTGGAATGCCTTGATTCGATGGCATTGTCGGGTGGGGAACATGAAACGCGCTCTGCGGTTCTTCACCTCCATGCAGGAGGAAGGGATGTACCCGGACCCAAAGATATTTGTTATGATCATCAGCCGGTTGGGGGAGCAGGGGAAGTGGGATGAGATCAAGAAGCTGTTTGATGGCATGAAGAATCGAGGTTTCAAGGAGAGCGGTGCAGTGTATGCAGTATTGGTTGACATTTATGGGCAATATGGCCATTTTCGTGATGCACGGGAGTGTATAGCTGCTCTTAGAGCTGAGAATACGCAGCTTTCACCTCGTGTGTTTTGTGTCCTTGCCAATGCTTATGCTCAACAGGTCAGCCTAACTACTAAACTTGGTTTAAATCAATTTTGCCTCATGGCATGATAGTTTTTTCCACCATATTTAAACTGAATATAGTTGCAAATGCCTTTGATTACATCCTAACATTGTATGAAAGCATGTTGCAGTAATGCTGTAAACCTTGAATAAGGATTCACAGTTTGTTATTTGAGAGAATAAGATGCACCATTTCTGGCTTTGGAAATATTTTCTTCTGTTCTTTTTAGAATATAAGATATACCATTTCTAGGTTTGCAAACATGATATTCTGGACACTGTATCCACGACATCTGTAAATAATTAACTGGATCTCGGACATCTTTGTTTATCTGGTCAGTACTCAGTACAACACCTGATATTAATAAATCCTGACGAAGTTGATAGGCATTGCTCTGAGAAATAAAATAGCAGTATGATGAGTCATGACAAGCAGTGCTGCATTTATCTAGACAGAAGTTATATGACATTATGACTGAGCTGATGTACTTTCCCCCTTCTGTTTCAGCACTGTAGCTGGACCAGGATTCTTTAGGATATAGTGCATTTGAGAACCGACATTCAGTTTTTTGTTAAGTACAATTAATAAGCTTGGCCCATTGCAGTAGGTCAATGCCATACAGCCTTCAACCATTTTCTGCATTTGCCTTTTCCTAAGGGGAGAAGGGCGGGCCTGGTGCAAGCGGTAGAGTCTTACCGCCTGTGACCGGAAGGTCCCGGGTTCGAGTCGCGGTCTCCTCGCATTGCACAGGCGAGGGTAAGGCTTGCCACTGACACCCTTCCCCAGACCCCGCACAGAGCGGGAGCTCTCTGCACTGGGTACGCCCTTTTCCTAAGGGGAGAGAGGGTTAATTTGTCAGTAGAACATCGATATCTGCCTGTCCTTGTGCACATGTTTCGACCCACGTGAATCATGTTGGCTGCTTACTCAAGGAGTCAAGGTGTTCCCTTTCTCTTTCAGGGGTTGTGTGAACAAACTGTAAATGTACTTCAGTTAATGGAGGAAGAAGGATTTGAGCCAAACCTTGTTATGCTGAATTTGTTAATCAACGCTTTTGGCACTGCTGGAAGGCATTTGGAGGCACTAGCTGTATTCCAGCATATCAAGGATAGTGTATGTACCTCATCTAGAAATGAGATGAAAATGTTTTTTTTTTTCAAATCTTGTTTCAAGTTTAAGAGGTTTTGCTTTCTTTGCAGTCTTATGATTACCTGTTCTTTTTTCTTAGGGTATGAGCCCAGATGTTGTGACATACACTACGCTTATGAAAACATTCATGAGAGCAAAGAAATTTGAAAAGGTCTGCCACTTTCTCTCCTTTTTTTGTGAAATTAGAATAGCCACGCATGGTAACATGCACAGAACCTTAACTGTTGGTAATGATTATGAAAGGTCTTGTTTTCAGCTCTTGAATATAGGCTTCAAAATTTTGTTCTTTTTGATTAGGATGGTAGAATATAAAATTAGCTGATCTTATTGTATGTGCCAGATTAATCTGAAAACATTGAAATAATTCTGCTCTTGGCTTGTGTAGGTATCTGAAGTATACAGAGAAATGGAACATGCTGGATGCACTCCAGATAGAAAAGCCAGAGAAATGTTACATGATGCAAATGTAATTCTGGAACAAAGAGGATGTAAGTATTTCATTTCAGATGACCTGTGCTTTAAGGGTGAATACAATGGATGAGTGATGATGTATGCAAAATGCTTTGACAGGTATCTATTGAATTTGGAATCCTTGCTATTGTAATCGGTCCATTGTCAATGCTTGTAACTTCAGGGACCCCACCTCCCTTTTTGCTTACACATGCATGATGCAGAGCAAACACAGGGTAGGCGATTAGTTTTACACCTTGATTTATACATTGTCCCTTCTCTAGTTTTCCTATTCTGATAACACTACAATATGGATTATCATTTTTGCATTAAGTTGTTCCAAGCTCCAAGTAGGTATTTCAGTTTCTTTTACTTATTTTTCTACTGCTGGATTTGATACAAAAAGTAGCTGAGATAACATTTTGATTAGACCATGGAAGTCTGGCCATCAACTTCTGTGGTTAACCATGCAATATGTAAATGTTGCTTTGCCATGTGCCCATGCCCATCACTATTTCCATTTCAACTTTGAAGGCATACTTTTTTTCAATATATCAATTAATACTTCATCTCTACTTTAAAGGCAGAGTACGAGTCTAACTGTGTTTCATCATACAGATTGAATGTTCCGGTACATGCAGATGATCCTGTACTGGTATTTTCTCCAATGTTGGGATGGTTATGGCATCAAACCAATAACTCTGTATTTCCAAGGCTCCTGAATGTTTACGTTGAACAGAAGAGTGAAAAAGGTATGAGGCTTACCAGTGCTTGTTTTCGCTTAAACAAACTAGGAAGCATTACTTACATTACTTTTTACTGTTGTAGTGCAGGATAACCGAGTATAGTTTTCACCCTTATACTTAGTCAGGGTTATATTCACAGCAAGACTATCAGGCATAAACATAAGTATGAATCAGAAAATACACTTAGCCATGAACAGCGAGAAGACACTCTGAAAGTGAATTACATCAACGTTGTCAAAGTTCCTTACAAGTTGCTTTCTTTCTGAATCATATATTAGGAATTTGGTGTGAGTGTGACGAGGAATTGCTGAAAACATTAGGTGTTTTGATTATTGATTCTTATGTAACTGTATCCAAGCAGCTACATGGTAGCTTATGTAATCAACTACCAAGTGGTAGAGTGTATACAACTGTATATTCACTATTTATAATGCCAATTGTAAATACTTTAAATTCAAAGTAGCACAGACCAATTATGATTCAGTCCTAATAAACAGACTGTAAATACTTGATGGCTTGATGCACTATTGAAATTAGAATAGCCAAGTGTAAATATTTGATTCTGTCCTGGTTACTGAATTAACTGCACCTAATTCCACGCTGTTATTATTGAGTTTATTTATTATGGGCTTCATCACTTATAATTTACACAGAATGAAAAAAAAACGCATGATCAAACCTTTTTCATCAGAATTGTAGTTCCTCCATTCGTATATTACCACTGATGGACTCCTTACATGCTTGATCAGATCGTAAATTTTGCTTGATGCTAACAATAACATAAAATTAAGAGAGAGAAAAACAGCATTCTTTTGTGACTCTGATAGAACGAGTAGCAAGATAAGCATTTTGATAGATTTGTCGCCATCAAGACAGTCAATGGTGTGAGCTCCTTATGTCTTGATTCAAAATGCTCTATGTTGCCTGCAACATTAGAATTTGTCGCGGTGGGATTTTGTGCATCCAACCAGAATTTGGTAACCTCATATTTCTTTTATCCCAACTGCATAATCGATGCAGTTGGAGATCAAAGACAAGTGGACACCCGGTCTCGGCACCTAGGTTAGGCGACTCGAGAGGGGTACCCAAGTCGACTAGGGTTTTCTGTTCTCCTCTTGTTCCTTTGGTCAGATCTTCTTCCTGGAGACTGTCCCTGTGTCCACAATCCCATACTCCATTCGTGTCCACATCAGATTCTCCATCAGGAGTCCAGACCAATCTGCTAGCCGGTTGCTTTTTTGGGAGGCCAAGGCTGGGAATGTGATCGGCCTCCTGGAGAAGATGAATCTATCGGCAACGGAGAAGAAGAGCATCAGGCTGGGCAGTGCGGTTATAGGATCGCAGCGGGGTGATCCGCAAGTGGTGGGGAAGGTCATGGTTGAAAAAACGTGCTGAGTGGAATCCTTGGAACTTTCCTGTGGCAAGATCTGGTGTCCTCTCAGGGGCGTGGAGTGCAAAGATCTGGGGGAAACTGATCCCTCTTCACTTTCCTGCAAGGGCCGGTGAAAAGGAGGCTCTGGAGGACGGTCTGTGGATGTTCGGGAAGGACTTGGTGGTGATGGCGGAGTTTGATGGCGCCAAAACCATAGATGAGATTGAGTTCAACTCAATTCTGATCTGGGTGAGTGCTGAAAATGCCCTTGGGGTTGATGAACAAGACGGATGGGGAACTGATTGGTGAGATGATTGGGGAGGTCATGGAGGTGGCTATCGGCTTGATGAGGAGGGTTACTCTGGATCTAGGCGAGGGCCAGGAAAACACGAAGTGGCTTCCGTGGACAAGCAACTCGGGGGAGTTAAGCTGGGGGAGTGGTAGCAGGAGAGGCATTGATGCACCGAGCTGGAGGAAAGATGTGGTGTTGAGGGTAAGAAGGGCACGGAAGGCGTTGAAGAACTTGAGGTTACCAGTCCTCTAAAACTGATGCCCCAACTGAATGTTGGAAAGTTCTGTCAATTGCCAGGAACACATTCAGCATAAGATCTATTCAACAATGTCAATTGCCAGGAACAAAATGAAAACTAACAGCTCTAACCCGAGGAGCACATTCAGCATAAGATCCATTCAACAATGTCAATTGCCAGGAACAAAATTTTGAATCCAAGAAAATATTCCCACGATCTGTTTACTGTCAGGTAAATTCTGTCGTAACACAATAAAGGACAAGTCCAGCAAGAAGATCCACTACAACACAGGAAGCCAGGTGCCGAGTACTACTGGTGTGGCTTCCTTACTGCTCACCCGGTGTAGTCTTGATGATATCATAATCACCTGAAAACAGAACAATCACTCTTCATATCCATATTTTGATCAAAACATCAAATTGACCTGTGATATGGAGTTGCCATTTACCAGGATCAATAATACTGAGGCAGCAGACACGGAAGTATTTTCCACAGGCTGTTCCCAGGTCAACATTGTCTGGAAAACAACAAATTGCAGTTAATTTCAGTACTGTCGTATTGCATTGACAAACACAACCCTGTCAAAATAACTATGCACATCATTTAGTTATTCCTCCAAGCAAAGAATGGTAGTCACTACCTTACAATGTAAATTCTTGTCATGGACATAGCCAGAAATATATTTTCAGGGGAGCCAATTAGTAATAATTATGGGTTTATGGAAGCCAAATTGATCTTTTCAGTTGATTTTGTTAATATCTAGCATTAAGATGCATGGGGTGACATGGTCCCTAGCTCCACTGATTCTTGTGCTTTTCTGCGACTGGCTAGACATTACAAAACAATACATGTAAGTCAGGGGCTAAATGAAAAGGTACCATGCCTACTGACAGTTCACAATTCAACATTTCATTAGATCATATGCAACATCGATTAAAAGAACCAAAAGTAAGGGATGCTAACTTACTTCCATGGAAGTGGTGGACTGTGACCTTAGCCAGCATAGCATAGTACTCAATTTCAGACTTCCGGAGCGGAGGACAGTTGTTAGCAATGATCACTAGCTTTGCTGTAAATCAATAGATTGATTTTGGAATATTGCACGTTATATAACAAATGATACTGCACAAATTCTATTGTAAAAGGCAGACAGTATAATTTTGTATGTACTCACATCTAAATTTAAAGATATATTGTCGTGTGGAAGGAACAGTTAGGCAAAGCAAAGGAGTTTACATTACATCATCTAATAAAAGACTAGACAGGAGATATTCAAAACAATTGTACACAACATATTCCACAAAAACACTATAAAGCAAAATTATAATTATAAATTAGTAAGAAGATATCTCCACTTGTGCTCAACCAGTGATATCATGCACTGGTAACATATATGGACATGGGGAGGGGATTATTATGGCGTTGACTCATACACAATGGCCATCTAAATTCATCCATTGGTAATCAGTTTTCAACGCAAAACTCAAATGCCAGTCACATATTAAAAATAACTATTTAGAATACATAGTTACTTCAAAAGTGCAAGCGGTGACAACAGACTGTAACCTAACAGATGAATGCAGAACACTAAGAATATCAATACATCGACATGTGAAGTGAAACAACAAAACAATCAGAGTTTCAAAAAACAATCAGAGGATCAGATTTCTGGCTTGGTTCTCTCTAATGAGAAATTGTAGCGCTCAGTATGTTCATTGTCGATCATCTGGGGAAAGGGTCATCATGTCCTCTGAAGTGGGCGACACAGTTAAGAGGACAAAAAAACACAAAAAGTGGCATGATAAGAGGCAACAAAACAAGCGCAACATGAAATTCAGAGTCATTTTTTCTGCAGGGATCAGAATTCTGGCTTGGTTTTCTCAAATGAGAAATTATAGCGCTCAGTATGTTCACTGTCGATCATCTGGGGAAAGGGTCATCATATCCTCTAGAGTATGCAATTCAGTTAAGAGATCAGAAAAAAATACAAAAAGAGGAACAATTTCGAAAAGAGGCAACAAAACAAGCACTACACGAAATTCAGAATCATTTTTTCTGCATTAATGGAGGATCAGAATTCTGGCTTGGTTTTCTCAAATGAGAAATTATAGCGCTCAGTATGTTCACTGTCGATCATCCGGGGAAAGGGTCATCATATCCTCCACTAATAACATTAAGGCATAGAGGTGAAAAACATTCAGATTCAGATAACATGTCCAGAAAATATGTTGTCCAGAGAATATTTTGGTGGGCATCCATGTAGCCACATCATTATAGTGGCTGAGGTCATGAACCCAAGGCCCTATTCTCCTTCTCTCAAGGCTGTATTCCCATTTTGACATGTAAAAAATGTTCACTTCAGTTAGAATAACAAGAGGTACAAGTAACTCTGCATAATCATAGATGCCCCTACCAGCTAGAAATCAATAACATTAAGCCCACATGAACAAGCTAGTAAAACTAATGGTTATCACATCTATTCATAGAGTGGACATGGCCAATTCTAATCTACGGTGAGCAGTAAAGAACAACTAGACTATCCCACAGGATTAATCTACTACCTATGATCTAGAAACATAGGCATACATCCACAGGCACCGATTCACCTTCCTAAAGAGTTAATCTAAGATACAACTAGCCTTACGCATGAAACAGAATAACAAAGGAGAGCTTCCTTACACTTGGAGTTCCTGAGGGTCCTGAGGACAGTCTTCTAGCCGAGCGTGTACTTGCCGCTCTTCATCACAAGCTGCAGCTTGTTGTTGATGTTGTCCGTGGACTTCTTCTGCACAAAACCACCAACAACGAAAAATTAGAACAGAAATTGCAAGACTAGAAACGCGAACAGGCGGAATGCAGCAGCATGCCATACTGCCGTCCGGAAGACGGCAGCAGATCGACGGGAAAGGTGGGAGAAACGTGGGCTTGTGGCAGAGATACGGGGGATAGATGTGAGAGAGCGGGGGATGGGTACCGTCTTCTTTGCGGCCACCATGGTTGCGCCCCGAGGAGGAGTGACGGCGTCGAAGCGGCTTTGCGAGGCGGCGACGGCGGCTCCTTCTCGGGGATGACTGCGAGGCTGAATGGTGGGGTTGCTAGGGTTTGGTTTTTTTTTTAGGACAGGTTGCTAGGGTTTGGTGCTTTATAGAGTTGGGAGCCTGAGGGTTTGCCCGCTGTGGGCTTTGTAGAATGGGCTTACATTGCAGGAGTTCTTTGGGCCCAGCCACAGAATATGGTTGCAGCTTCTATCTGTCCCCTTCCAAGCTCCCCTCTACCATGTTGTCCACCCTATTCTTGCTGCCTTCCTGGAGCAGTTGAGCTGCCAGACACCTGAGAAGAATCTCTTGCTGTGTATTTCGCATTCTTTGTAGGTTTACCAGAGCCTGAAAGGGTGCCAGTAATTTACCAAGAATTATTTTCTTTCTTGGTCAAGCTACTTCCTGTCTTGAATGGTCCTGCTGAATCTTTAGGGACAGTCATCACCATTGATTTCTTTATCTGAGGCGTGAAAAGTGTTGATCCAACTGGAAGTTCTGCTCAGTTTCATGCATCTGTTCATCATTGTATTGCCTGCAGAGTTTGGGATGGTCACAGCAACAAGCCAATAATAACTCTATATTTCCAAGACTCTTGAATGTTTATGATGGACAAAAGTGTGAAAAAGGTATGGGGTTTACCAATGCCGGTTTGCACTAAAGCAAACAATGAAGCATTACTTACATCCATTTTACTGTTGCAGCACAGGATAAACCGGTATTCTTTTTGTCTTTGTACATAGTCAGGGTTATGGTTAAGGCAAGACTATCTATCAGGGATAAAGATATGAAAATTTGAGTCATGAACAGTGAGATGGGTATAGACATTGTGGAATTTCCTCACGTTGCTTTCGTTCTGAGTCATGAACATATCTGGTTATTGCTGAAAACATTAGGTGTTCTGGTTATTGACTTTTGTGTAACTGGATCCAACTGTATGTAGCTTATGGAATCAGCTATCTATCAATTCAAGTGGTAGAGTGTAGATAACTGCATCATCACTATTTATAATACCAATTGTTTAATTTACTCTGCTTCATATATCACATTATGCTGCTTAAATTCTGTATTTGTGCTAAAAGGCTGTATATTCAAAGTAGGATCAAGCAATTATGATTCAATACTGACAGCTTGTAAATACTTGATGCAATACTAAAATTAGAATAGCCAGGTGTAAATAGTTGGTTCTCTCATTTTCCACAACGGCAGAGCCAAATTTCATTACTCGAAAGCAACGAAATTACATGAGTTTGTAAACCATAAAAAACAGAAAGAAAAACGTCTTAGCGAAACGGCCCCCTTGGAATGAACACAGAGGGTTCAACCAATGGACAAATGTGACCTACGCCGCCAAAACACCGCTAGAGAGCAACACATAGCTGTTCGCCTCAGCGTTCGCCAACCAACAATTCAGGACACTGAAACTTATTACATGCCCCTCATGGCAAATTCAGACTTCTCTTAAACTGCCTACAGAATATCAGCAAAAACAATGCGCCACTTCGAATGACGAGCATCAGACAATTGCCATCCAATAGTTGGTTCTCTCATGGTTACTGAATTAACTATTGCGCTCAATTTCAGTGTTATTTTGGGCTCCATTGTGCATAATTCATACAGAATAACAAACAAAACACACGATCAAACCTTTTTCACAATAGTAGGTTCTCCATTCCTATACCACCACTCATGTAATCCTTACATACTCGATCACTACATACATTTTGCTTGATCCTAATAATATGACATAAAAATCAGCATTGTTTGTTGTTTCATGACTCTGCTTCTTCTATATAGAACTGTAAATTATTGACAGATTTTGACAGTGGAACAACCGGCGAGGAAGACAGGCAAAAGCAACGGCGTATGCTTGAGCTCATTTGAGCTCCTCATCGTCTTCGCAATCACTGAGCAGGTCGTCAATGGCCTCGACATGCGTCATGCGCGCGGAGGCCTGCTTGACCCAGCGCGCCATCTTGGCGGTCTCCCTGCTGACCTGCACCTGGTCCTCCAGCGCCTTCCTGAGCCGGCGCTGCTGCTCCCTGAACTCGGTGGCCATCCTCCTGTTCTCGTCGCCCCACTCGCCGGCGTCGACGCCGAGGACGTCGCCGGACCCGTGGTGGACCTTCTTCTTGGCCTTGGCCGACGTCCTCTGTAAGGGCTTCTTCGGGGAGAAGCCGAAGCAGCACGCCTGGCGCGGCGGTGGCGGCGAGGGGGAGGCGGAGGAGGACTCCCTCCCCCTGTTCCGCCCCCGCAGTGTCGGCCGCCCCCGCGGCCCTGACCCGAACAGCCGCTCCAGGTCCTCGGCGTCGTCTTCGGCGTCGGCGTCGTGGACTGCGGGTGCGGGGACCGGGGCACGAGCCTGCCGCGGCGAGGATTCGCCGCCGTTCGTCTCCGCGTCTCCCGGCAGCGGCGGCGGCGGGTCTTCGTGGACCGCGGGGGCCCGGTGATGCTCAGGCGGAGCAGGAGCGGGAGCGGGAGGGTTGGGGCCGCGCAGAGCGGCGGCGGGGCCCGGCGCGGTGACGCTGCGGGTCAGGGTCCTGACGGGTGGCGGTGCGGCGGGCGAGGGGAGGGACTTGAGCTTGCGGAAGCGGGTCTCGAGGCTGGACGGGAGCGCGGAGTCGTCGGCGAGGTGGGCCGTGTTGAGCTTGGCGATCTGCTCAAGCGCCACCAGGTCTGCCGCCTCCGCAAGGATGGCGTCCACCGCCGACAGCTTGCCGCCGCCCGAGTAGTACGCCATGTAGGCCGGGCGGTGGGGATTGGGAGAGGGGGGAGAGGTGGGGAGAGTGAGTGAGCTAGGGTGAGAGTGCGGCGCGGATGTGTGCTGGCAGAGCGAGGGGAGCGGAGGCGGCGTCCGTTCCTTTTCGGGATATTTAACTTTTTACTATTATTACTACTTATGCGTCAGGTTTGACGCTATATTTTTAGTATTGGAGAAAAAAAAATGATACATATTTGTCACTTTTGCTCGCGTGGCACGTCAGATCCGCTGTCCAGCTTGGATCCGAGTCAGCAGGCCGATATAAAATGATTGCCCTGCCCCTAGCGTCTGTATTACCCCGCGGCCCACTCCACTCTCCCCCATACGTTCCCCTTTCTCCTTTCTCTGGTCCGCGCGCGACGCCCGCCAGCCGCCGTCGCGCACAACGCACCCCCCCACCGCGACACATGTCCTCCCCGAGCACTTTGGCGATGGTGTAAAGGTATGTGCCTACTTGGAACCCTGTCCGCGGTCTGCATTGTTGCCTTGATTTGGGGATTAGGGTTAGGGTTCGTCAATTTGTTTCGGTTTTTGTCCATCTCTGCTTAGGCCGGTAATTTATTCCCCAGTTCCTCAAACAATGGATAGGAACGACTGTCCCGTTTGGTAAGATCAATCACTCCATCTCATTGCATTCGAAATGGTAGATGTTGTGTACGAACCGTGGCGTGTAGGATGTTGTCTAACTCGTTGATTTATTTTTTGTGGCTGCATTCTGTCAGGATTGACCCTGGCAACGCGTTTAGATTAGTTGTTAAGGTTCCTAAGTTTGTCGTCGATGGGGAGTATGGGCTAGTAGAAATGGCTGATCAAGAGCATGAACTGTGGCTGGATAGAAACTTGCAGTATAGTCTGGAGAAATTTCATGAGGAGATGGCCACAAAGATCATTTGGGGTCCATCAGAAACTCTAGCAGTCTGGGTTCTTGACACTGACAGTGGTTCTGAATGGAAAGTCAGAAGGGATGAGCATTTTCAGCAGCTGATAAAGGACAGATGGGCTGACAAGGTTGCTTTTCTTGTAGTTGATGTGGCCAGCAAACATGGAGAGTCTGTTAATGCTAGTTCTGGTAGAAGGTGTGTTTCTGGTGTGACAACTGGTGAAGGCAGTGGAATTCATGGTAATAGAGGTGGTAGAGCTTCTAATGCTGCCCCTGAGAATATAGAGGGCACTGGTGTGACAACGGGTGAAGGCAGTGGAGTTCATAGTAATGGAGGTGGCAGAGCTTCTAATGCTGCCCCTAAGAATGTAGAGGGCACTGGTGATACCTACAGTACTCCTCCTCCTCCCTCTGTGGCTACTGATGTAGCTGAGCCAATTGATTGAGCCAATCTGACCATACTACCATATGACAATGATGATAGTTGTGCCAATGCAACTGATGATGAGGACAAAGTGTATGAGGCAATGGGATTTAAGGCTGTAGATGAGAGAGCAGATGAAGCAGCTAGGGAAGCAGTGCCTATCCCTACCATGACAGCTGAGATGCAAAAGGATATGGTTGAATATGTTGTTCCAGTTGATGACAATGTACCTGAGGAGCCAATGTTTTAGTGGGACAGGGAAAATCCTGACATGTCTGTTGGTGTTTGTTACCCTAGTATGGATGATTTCAGGCTAGCAGTGAGGCATCATGTCATAGTAAAGGAGTTTGAATTTGCTACTGCTCATTCAGACACTCAGAGGTTTAGGGGTCACTGTGGGTCTCTTGGCTGCCCATAGATTATTAGAGCTAGGACACAACATGATGGGAGTGTCATGGTACATTTTTTGCTATGTTATTCATTGTTTGATTCTCTAATTGTTCACTATTTTATCAATTAATTACTTATGATGCTATGTGGTGTGAATTTGCAGGTTCAAATAAATGAAGGAATACACAATTATGCTTCTAGAGCTAGAGTTCTTAGGAAAATGGCATCACAAGCTTGGGTGGCAGAGAGGGCCATACCCTTATTGAAGAAGAAGCCAAGTATGGGTCCAAAGGCAATGAAGGAAGAGCTTCAAGACAAGTACAAAATAGAGATCCCATATCAGACTGTTGTCTATGGCAGACAAAGGGCAGCCAACAAGTTGTTTGGAAAATGGGATGATTCATTTGATTGGTTGTACAGATTCAAGGCAGAGGTAGAGATGAGATCACCAGGTAGTATATTGGAGATAGACATAGAGACTGTGGATGATAAGGTTCACTTCAAGAGATTTTTTTTGCTGTTTTAAAGCTGTTATTGATGGTTTCAGGAATGGCTACAGGCCATACATCAGTATAGACTTTACAACCCTGAATGAGCTTTGGAATGGCCACCTACCTGTAGCTCAAGCTTTGGATGGCCATAACTGGATGTACCCCTTGGCATTTGTTTTTTTTGACTCAGAGACCAAGGAGAACTAGACCTGGTTCATGGAGCAACTTAGCAAGTCCATAGGCCCTATGGAGAACCTAGCTGTCTGCACTGATGCTTGCAAGGGCCTTGAAGCTGCAGTGGCCAAGGTTTTTCCTAACAGTAAACAGAGGGAGTGCTTCAGGCATTTGATGGACAACATGAAGAAGTACTACTTAGGAGATATTTATGCCAAGAACATACGACCTGCAGCAAGGGCATATACACCCTACAAATTTAAGTACTTCTTTGACAAGGTAGTAGATGCTAGTCCAGATGTGTTTAATTGGCTCAAAGAACATCACAACCTACTGTGGGCAAGGAGCAAGTTTACCACAGAGATCAAGTGTGACTACATCAATAATAATCTGGCTAAGAGTTGGAATGCCTGGATCAAGGAGCACAAGGACCTGCCTATTCACTGCTTGGCTGATGCTATTAGAGAGAAGACCCTCACTCTTTTTGCTAAGAGGAGGAAGATAACAAATGCACTGTCTCCTGGGATACTGCCTGCAGTTATACATCAGCTCAATGCAGGCTCTAGGGGTTTAGGCCATCTCAAGGTGACTAAAGGGCATCTAGAGGAAGCAGAAGTGACTGAGATATACATGGATGAAGAGGTTAGAAGGCATGTTGTCTACCTGCCACAACATGTCTGCACATGTAGAGAGTGGCAGCTGACTAGAAAGCCTTGCTCACATGCATTGGTTGTCATCACGACCATGAGGCAACCCAATATGGATCAGTATGTGGACAAGTACTACTCAGTTGAGAAGTTCCGGGCTGCATACCATGGGATCATTCCTAGCATAATAGATAGAGGACAATGGCCAAAGGTGGACAAGGGCTTCAAGTTGTTCCCACCAGTTACGAAGAAGACTAGACCACCAGGAAGGTAGAAGAAGAAAAGGCATCTTGCTCCAGGTGAGAGAAGTGGCAAAGCAACAAGACAAGTGAAATGCCCTAACTGTGGTGAGTATGGCCACAGGAGTGGAAGCTGGAGGTGTCATCTGATTGGCACAAAGAAAAGGTAATTTGCAAACTAACTGATTTCTATTATTGTTGCCTTCAAACCATGATACCTAACAATAGCATTATAGGAAAAGAACCAAGAAGTCAGCACCTAGACCTGGGAGGAAGAAGAATAAGATAGACCATACACCAAGTGGAGCAAACACACCTAGGACAAGGACAGCAGTGGCTAGAGAAGCAGCAGCTAGGGCAGTAAAGGAGGCCTAAGAAGCTACAGCCAAGGCATCTACAGCAGCAGAAGCTACAACTGCTGCTGAGAGGGATGTCCTAGATGTGCCACCACTTGAGGTTGAGCCTCCACCGCCATCACCACCCTCTACAAGCACTAGGAGGTATGCCATACTTAAAAAACACTATAACTTGTGTAATTGAGGCCATTCTGATGTAATTTCTTCACAAATAGGAACCTATGCCATGAACTCTAAGTTGTGATTGAGCTAGATGAACTACAGTAGTAACTGTTGACCCACCTCATAAGAAGTTCACTCCAAGGAAGAAGCAGCTAGCAACCAAGACCAAGAAGAGTTTAGCCAAGAAGGGGAAGAAGTGAGTGAATGGAGTGGAAAAACAGCAAGGAGGACATTCATTTTGGTTGTAAAAGGCCCTCAACTATTGTATGTGGCCAAAACTTGTAAATGGCCTGAACTATGTAAGTGGCCTGAACTTGTCAGTGGCCTGAACTATTGTATGTGGCCAGAACTATATAAGTGGCCTGAACTATGTAAATGACTGTACTGAACTATTGAATGCGCCTAATCTGTCTTGTGTTTGTTGTTAACATGTAAAACTATTTCAGTCTATCTGTCTTGTGTAAATGCCACTGAATTGTGCTGGTGGACACATTTTCGACAGATTTAAACTTGAGCAGTACTCAATAATCCTTCCTTCGCTAATTTGAATGAAGGTTGAACCTCTTTTTGCTAGGTTTGGAGAGACTCCAACGACTGAACTCTCCAATTGCACTTTCTTTGATACTCTAGCCTGCCAGCCAAATGAACTCACTGAACCTGGCATAGAATCCTTGGAACATCTAAGTTCAATCTCATTGATGAAAAACATGTAAATGACCGAGTTAGGCACTGCCAAAAGACACATTGAAACACAATTTACACATTATCACATTAAAACACAATTTTTATTTCCATACATTGTAACATTGAAACACAACTTTCATTTTCCATACATTGTCACTTCATTGCAACATACATCAAAACAGATCCAAAAACAATAGATATAAGACACACAATGAACATGTTCATCTTCCAAATCAATGTCTCCATCTTGTGCTCCAGGTCTTTCCTATTGTTGTTAGGACCATTTAGACTGTCAACTGAAACATCTTCATGATCCACCAACTTTGCCCAATTGGAGGGGCGAACCTAGATGATGCCCTTCTCCTTCAGCTGCTCGAAGTACTGCTTCTCAAATCTATAGTACCCACACAGCTTGGGAAACTTCAAAAAAACCCAAAGTTAGAACCCTAACTGTGACAATGGGGGATGGGTAGTACACAGAACTCACCTCATTCCTCGTACACTTGAAGTACAGACACCCATGGTTATCACC